TCCCAGCTTCTGGTGGCTGCTGGCACCCTTGGCTTGCAGACACAGCACTCCAATCCACCTGTGCTGTCACATGGCATTCTTCCCAGGTTTCTGTCTTTACGTCGCCGCCTTCTCATTAAACACCAGTCGTACCACATCAGGCCTGCACCGGCCTGAGCTGACTTCATCTCCAGATCCCTCCACATTCGGAGACCCCGGGGGTTAGGACTTCAACGTGTCTTTTTTGAGGGGACACACGTCAACCAATATCCGTTATTGTAAGGATTACGAGACTGTATTTTTCTGATCTACGTAGCAGTGCCTGAAATCAATTCTTTATCTTGCCTGATTCCCCAACTAGCCCTGGCCTGACAACCTGACTGCAATGTCCGTGTAGCCCTTTCTTTCCTGACCGGTTACCCGGCTGAGGGCAGGGCCTCAGGGCCTCCTCACACTCGATGCGCAGCCCCCAGGGAACGCCAGGCTTCAGGCACTGTGATGAGAGGCAACCACAGGCTGTTTCACCTCCTTGTTCTCAGAACATTTTAACATTTAAATGTTAAGGTGTTAAAATGTTCTCACCTCCTTGTTCTCGTGACCCTCCTGACATCAGCCAGACTCCAGAAAGGACCCGGAGACCCGCCCTCATTCTCACCAGCGGTGACGGTTGGGGAGGGGTTGGAGAGGGAAACGCTGGCTGCAGACCTGGCCCCTGTCCCCCCCTCCCCCATCACTCTGGCTGCACAGCTGCAGGCATCGAAGCCCAGCTCCTTCTGCTGCAGCAGTTAAGGAGGGATTCTGCAGGAACACTGAGGTGGGAAAGCAGGAGGGCGGTGTGCAGGCAGGAAGTGAGGCCACACAAACGTCACTTCCAGACGCCCGTCCCCTCCTTGCGGGGTCAGCAGCGGCCTCTCGGCTCTCTTCCTTCTGGGTGGTTTGCACTCCATTCCCTCCCAGCCCAGGCCTCCTGGCCCGGCCGCTGCTCCTCGGCCTGGGTGCAGGGGCCCTACCTGGGAGACCGAGTGCCCAGGAGGTTGAGGGTCCTGCCGGAAAGGCGCAGAGCAAGGTCCCTGCTGAGACTCAGTCACAATTGTTCAGAGGAGGAAGCGAGGGCTGTGGTTTTCCTAAGAGCCTGGCACTAACAAGAGCAACGGTGGATGTGTGAGCAAGGCCGGGCCCAGAGGCAGCGCGCCGGGGCGGCCGGCCCGTTAAACGACCGAAATGCTTCTGAATCAGCTGGTGCACAGCCTGCCGAGAGGCCTCCGGCCGTCCCTCCTGGTCGTCCATCAACCCCACCATCTGGCAAAACGCTCACCTGAAAGGTAACCTCCAGGACAAGGTACCTCTGTGCCCAGGCCAGAACCCCACTCGGTCCCCAGGGCCAGGTGCTGGGCCGCGCTGGCTGGTAAGTGTTTGAGTAGCATCCAGGGTAAATGGTCGTGGAGGGGTGTGAGGATGAGGGACAGAGATCAGGATGGCATCTGATGCCTCGAGCTGGTTTATGGCTTGTCAATGAATTCGAAAGCCAGGCGTCCACTCCTATGACCTTCAGGACAAGCAGCATGTCCTCAGCTCCTCACAGCCCTACAGTCATTGGGACTTCAAGGGAAAGAACAGGGTGTTTCTCAGTGGTGTGTGGGAGGCAACTAATCGTGTCTCTCTCTTACATCAACGTTTCTCTCTCCCTCCCTCTCTCTCTCTCTCTCTTATTTAAGCTTTGTTCCTTATGGATGTTACTTTGATATAACAAATGACTGAGGAATCACCTCTATGTTTTTTCTCCCTAAATGGCTAATTGTACTATCACTGGCTTAACATTCCTAAAACCCACTCCTCTAAACCGGAGCCTCCCCATCTGGGTTGAGTGGATCGGGGCCCTAGCTGGTTTGTTCAGTGGTTAGAGCGTCCACCCAAGAACTAAAGGGTCTCGGGTTTGGGTCCTGTCAAGGGCACACCCTGGTTGCAGGCTCAATCCCCAGCCCCTGTCAGGGTGCATGGGGGAGTCAACCAACTGATACGTGTCTCACATCAATGTTATATTTCTCCCTCAGTCTCTCCCCCTCCCTTCTACTCTCTCTCTCTCTCTAAAAAAATAAGGAATGGAGAAATATCCTCAGGTGAGGATTAACAAAACAAAACAAAAAAAGTTTAAAATAAAGTGGATTGGGTGTGAGACGGCCTCAGTTCAAAGCTTGGTTCTGCCACTTACCGCTGTGGTATCTTTGCTCAATGACTTATCCACTCTGTGCCTCAGTTTCTACTTTGATGAATATGGTAAAAATATTACTTCACCACCCTTTTATGAACATTAAAACAATAGTCACTTACAACGCAGTTAGAATGCATGTGATAGGCATTTATAATTATTTATGATTACTAGGTTTACTATATTTAGTATTATAATTATTGTCAATGACGAGGGAGCAGTTTAGTAACATAAATTAAATCCTTCTTGAACAACTGACTGATTCAGGGATCCTAACCGGGCTCATCAGACATCCAGGAGTGAGGAGTGTAAAATGGAAAGTGGGGAGACACAAAGACAAGGAGTTCTCTGGGCCTCATGAATTCCTGCTTCCTTCCCTCCCTGAACCCCGAGCTCTTCTTTGAATTCTGTAAATACCCCCAAATCCTTCCACAAAATTGTCTGTCTTTGTCTTTAAAAAAAATAGTGGCGTGAAAATAAGCGACCAAAAATGGATTCAGCAATAAGGCTACAAACACATCCCAGAATGCCCCGTGTACAGACTTGGCTGTAAGGTTCCTAGCGAGCAGCACAGGCAGGGAGGACTGGGCCATTTCACCATGTGTCCACTGACGGCAAAAGAGCGCAGGTGCTCACACCGGCGGGCGCGTCCCCCGGGGCCCTGGTGACGGACAGGTCTCCGGGGCCTCCCTCTGGTGGAGGCAGCAGGCTTCGGGCTGCTCCTGACAAAGTCCCTCCTTACAGACAAGTGACGTTACCTCCAAGCTCAGCACGGCGAGTTAGTCTGGGGCCGTGGGGAGCGATAGACAGTCTGGGCGCCTTGAACCAGGAGCTGACGGAAACACGAGGAAGAGCAGAAAGACTACACGCCCTCCACTCCCTGTCCCTGTGATGCCCACAGGTAAGGAGCCAAGTGGCCGGGAGCAGATGGTCCCCCTGTGAAGCGGGCATGCTCCCCCTGGACCCAGGCGAGACCTTCCCACTTCACCCCGACCAGGCTGGGCAGGGTCGGTTTCCCATTTAGGGAAAGTCTGGTCTTGGGCTCAGAGGTTCCCGCAGCAGCACGGGCAGCGTCCTGGGCCAGGAGTACCCTGGCCTAACGGTGTTCAGAGCAGCTGGTCCTCCAGAGCCGTCCTGAGCCCGCCTCCAGCTGCCTCCCCGGGCGGCGGAGAAGCGCCTGAGCAAGCAGCCCACACTAAGCCGCAGCGTCTTCCAGGCAGACCTCTGACCTGGGCATTTCCTGGCCAAGGACGCCGGCGAGCCTCTTAAACGAGCCCGCACAAGGCAGCATGGACTGCCGTCTCCCAGGACGCGGAAAGTCCGGTCCATCTTCTTCATCCAACATCCCACCTGCGGCCTCTCCAGGCCACCCAGACCCCTTCCTGCCTTCAGAAAGGACCCTGTGTTAGCAGGCTGGGCACCGGTCACCTCAGCCTCTGCACCCAGCAGGGGGTGTGGCGGCGGATCGTGGCTTTTCCTAGGTAACGTGTGTGCTGGGTTGAAGCGTTCGCCCCAAACTCACACCTTCCCAGGAGCCTCATTTGGAAATAGGGTTGTTGCCGATGTAATGAAGATGAGCTCGTGGGCAGTGTGGGCCCTCAACCCGCTCTACCGCCGTCCTCATGAGAAGAGGAAAGACGCTCTCGGACACAGACACACAGAGGGACAGCTCCATGTGACGAGAGGCAGCGATGGGAGGGACCCCAGGGGTTGCAGGCGACACCAGGAGCTCAGAGACAGGCAGGGGACAGACCATTTTCTCGACCCTCCAGAGGGAGCACAGCCCCTCTGGCGCCTGGATCTGGAACTTCGGCCTCGAGAACCGCGAGGGAACGCACTTCTGATGCTGAAGTCTGGGTCCTTTGTCACGCGGCCCCGGGAAGCCTAGCTCTGCACCCACCACAGGCACGATGCGCCCCTGCTGAGAAGCAGGACCCCCTGCTGTCGGCCGGGTCCCCTCCTCTGAGAGGCGGCACCTGGGGAATTCTGGAGAATTTCGGGGTCCCTGCCAAGGAGGCTGGGCAAGCTCCCTCCAGCATCGGAAGGTCCGTGCTAGTAGAGTTCCCGACTCCATGTCTGTGATGTCTGTACGTTCACACTTCGGTTTACCCCCGCCCCCCCCCCGCAATCAGGGGATGACTTCGGGGTACTAGGAACAATACCCACACCACCAAGAAAGAAAAGAAAGGAAAGAGAGACAGCCGCCCTTCCCTTGTAAGTCGAGGAGGCGGAATTGGGTGCTATGGCCCAGCTCCCAGCTCACACTGCACCGATGGCAGGTTTCGGTACCAATGAGTTGGACGTAAAGGAGGGCCACCCCAGACCTGAGGTGCCTGAGGGCAAGTCTGTTTTCCAAATCACTGTCTCCCTGAGTAGGACCTTCCCAGTCGCCAGGAAGAATCGGGGGAGCAAGGAGATGCGCTAAGACATGAGAAGAGAAAGTCCACTTCAGTTTCCTGGTCTATTTCCCACTCCGATCGCGGTGCTCCATCGAGAATGGTTTGCACTCAGACCACACATATTTACGACCCGGTAGAACTCTCTCTGAAACACACTCAGCCTGTGGGAAAGAGAGACCCTCACACCTCCCAGTATCAGACACAGCACAGGCCCACTGGCAGGCAGCGCAAGGGCTGGGCCGCCGGCACAGGGCACCCTCAGCCTCGCGCCCTGCTGTTCCTCGGGAAGCCGGGAGGCCACGGCCTCACTGCCATCAGGCAGCTACAGCTCAGCCCAGCGG